CTTCCTTCGCCTTTGGTCAATCGTTTACTTAGTGAATTTGACAGTGAGGATAAGTGAAAAGGAGGAGCGGAGTGAAGAAGGCATGGCGTGGATCGATAAATGAAGATGTCTTGCATGGTTCTGATGTGTGCTGATTTATATAACTCAGCTCGGTTTCACTGCTTCTTCAAAGAAGAAACACAGAAGATTATGACATCGAAGGATCCACTTGGAGGTCAGAATGTCCGGGACGCTTTGCTTTGCAATGTCTATAACCTGCTTTGTAGAGGCCCCAAGTACCACTAGGCTGTGCTCCCAAATCCAAGCATGTTGAGAAGGAGGATGGTAGAAAGCAGCTGAAGGACATCGAGGAAAGCTTCCCAAAACAACGATCAGACGCGCAAAGGCCACACATGTTGTCATTGATTCAGTTCCAACCTCCCTTGTCACAGGTGTGCCGCAGCATCCTGCTGGATGAGCGGTGTTGTTGCTGCAGCATCTCGACCAAAAGTGGCCATCAATGGGTTCCAGAGTGGGAACAAGTTGCAAAAAAACCTTCCACCAGCTGCTGGTCGCACATTGGCATACAAATCGCCCCACACCTCTGGCATCAACCCTTCTCCAAATCAACAGATTCGACCAAACACTGAATACAGCACCTCTCCCCTCCTCCTCAGCCGAGTCCAGCGATCGTCCTACCTTCTCGCGGCACTCTTGCTGCACGTTCTAAAGGCAACCCCACCCATTAGACAGCGACCAACAGAAATGTGCTGAGACAGTGTGCAATGCCAGCTGAGAGAAGCTGAGACAGTGTGGTGTCTTGTTCACCTTTAATGGGAAAATGCAGTGAATACAAGTGAAGTCTCAGAAAATGGGCCAGTCTGCCAGTCTCATAAGACTCCGATGCAAACAGCCACAGCCTGCAGCGGTGTCCGGATGAGGATGAGCGTTTGATCCACCCTCCCCCGCTTGGAACAGCGGACGAGCAGCTTTCTTTGTGCGGATCAGAAACGGCCTGGATGTGTTCTCTTTGCTTTGTGGAAAATGGTTCGCCATGGCCCATGGCGCGTATAAAGGACCCTCTCATCTCAGGTCATGGTGGACCCAGGGAGCACCCGGAGGCTTCTCGTGTTGTTCGGGACCTGGTTTTGAGGCAGCGTGCAGCTGGAGGAAGCTTCGTCGGAAGCTTCGGGCAGTGCGTGTTGAGTTGCCATTCTGCTGTGGGTGGCTCTGGGTTTTGTTGAGGTGGCTCTGGGTTTGGGTCGTGGGGTGCTGATTCACTGCTTCGCTGCAGCTTGACCGCAAAACCAAGGCCGTCAGACGGGCCGTAAGGTCGACCAATGAACGGGGTTTCCTTTCAGAGAGCGTTGGATCCAACAGTCTCCCCTGCTTTTCCAACGGACGAGCAGCTTTCTTTGTGCGGAGCAAATAGGATCTTTTGCCATCGTTCCATGCTTTGCAAGCGGATCAGAAACGGCCCGTGCAGAGGCCGCCATCCGGAGTTGAAGGCCAAGGCAGGGGGGATCTCAGACAGAAGGTGGTTCATGTCACAGGACGTTGTGTGTGGAGCAACTTCCAAGTTGCAGTTAGTCACATTCTTTGTTGCACCGTGCGCTGGCTGATCAGAAGCGTTCTGGCATCCCAAGTGCAGAATCCCAAGCCATTGCAAATTCAGGCAGCCCTCACTTCCAAGAAAGAGTCAGATTTAAGAGCCATCTAGAATTATCTAGATAGAGTCTATAGCAGGCAACTCACATGCGCAGAGCAGAACGTCCTAAATGAAATCTCCCGCAAGTTAGAGTCAGCCAAGATCTGGGCAACCCACACGCGGAAAGCAGAAGATACAGAAATTTCCGAAAAAAATGAGATCTCCGATGGCGAAGCTCGTTGCTGCGCTTGCGAGCCCCATCCTGGTGCTTTACTTCGTTGACATCGTTGACTTCGTGCAGGTGTCACAACACTTCGGAGCTGTTCGAAGGCTCAACAGCGTGGAAGACGCGTCGATTTCAGAGGGTTGGCCGAAGCTGATTCCAGGGCCGTGCATGATTCAGGAGGCAGAAGCCACCACCAAGTGGATGATGGGGCTGTTGATGGACACTCTCCGTGCAAATTGGCCGGTGTTGGTGGTGGTGCTGCTTGATGGCGCTTTGCTGGCAGCTTTATGGGTGCTCATAAAATACATGATGAGTGGTGAGAGCATTCCCTACATGCAACTTGAACAGTCTGAAGGTGAAAGCGAAGAAGGCGCTGAAGAGTCGCAAGAGCAAACGGACGGCACACCCAGCCTATTAGCTCGAGCAGAAGTAGCAATGATGGCCTTTTCTTGGCTGTCTGATATGCTTTCTGATGTGTATGTGGCCTATACCTACTACACCGACGGAATGTACATTTTCAGCCTTCTTTTGACAGCCATTTGGCTTGGAAGTGGATGCCTGAGCTTCGTTCACAGATACCTAAGCTGGGAACGTTGTGATGTCGAGACCAACCCCGGCTATTGGGTTGAAGGCCTGAATTTGCACGGAGAGCTGCCTTCCGGGTGGAGGAGCTTTGTTATGTACGTGCTGCAAGTCCAACCTCTCTTGGAAGCCTTCAAGGCCTTCAAACGTGGCATGACACGAGAGCTACGAGAAGAGAAGGTGCTGGCAGCACTTTGCGAAGGAGCGCCATCGAGCCTCCTTCAGATCTACGCTCTGTTGGTCAGCCGTCCAAATGGAAATCCGTGGATCCTATCTGGGTCTATATGTCTCTCGATTTTCACCGTGGCTGAGGGCATCAAGAAAGCTTACGAGCTTTGCAAACCTGAAGACAGGCAAATGGAGCCGAGCACTTTGCCAAGCATCGCTCTGTCACTCTTCCGTTGGTGCGACACTTTCTCACGCATCGGGTTTTGGGCCTTGCTGGGCGTATGCCTCCGGCCCACGGACGCCAAGCGTCAGGGACTGCAACAGCCATACTTGCCATTTATCATGGTAACGGAATTTCTTATGATCGCATTGCTCTTCAAGTCAAATAACTTTGGATTGCAGATGAAATGGAACGAACTCTTCAAGAAGGAGAACTTCCTTGGCATCATCGCCTCTTTTCTGAGCACTTTCTGGTGCTGCTATGCCACAGACTTGATACCTCAGCGACGTTTCTCCAGAATCTTGCTTGCACTACGAACCTTCAGTGCTCTTTGCACGTTGTGGCTCTTTGCTCTGGTTGCTTCTGCAGAATTTGGAGGCGAGTGTGTCTTGTCACGCAAGCCCGCTGTGCAGATCATATGTTTAGCGACACTGTTGACCTTCACAGTCACCTTCATTCTGACGATCATGAACGAGTTGATGTTGTCATGGTGTGCCCTTCCCCTATTTCCCATCATCAGCGGTTCGCATGGCGGGCGCTTGGAGTTGGCTGCCAGGCTTGGCTTGGCTTCACAAATCGGTCACTTCCTTGATGACTCAGACGAAGAAGCGCGTGCTGCGGCGCTCTGCCAAGCTGCAGAAGCGGGTCACGTCTCTGTGGTCCAGTCGCTCGCGGACTTTGGCGTATCTCCTGGTGCCACCTGGCAGGGCGGCCTAACTGCAATGCACTACGCAGCCAGAGGGGGCCATGTGCGGGTCATGGAGGACTTGCAAGAACTTGGAAGCAACGATCTTGAGACTGCTGCCGAAAATGGAGCGACTCCTGCTCATGGGGCAGCGCAGAATGGCCATTGGGAAGTCTTGCATTTTCTGGAGAGCGCAGGGTGCGACTTGGATAAAACAAACCACCTTGGATTGACTCCTGCTTACTTAGCGGCGGAGAATGGCCATTTGGAGGTTTTGCGTTTTCTGGAGAGCGCAGGGTGCGACTTGGAGAAGGCAGACCACCGTGGAGGGACCCCTGCTCATTGGGCGGCCCAGAATGGCCAATTGGAGGTTTTGCGCTTTCTGGAGAGCTCTGGGGCCACCGGTCTCCACACTGCAAGCAGTCGGGAATTGCGACTTCGCATGGATATTGGTAAAGTCGTTCAGGTCGACCTTCAGACCATAGCAAACTGAGAAGCATGGGAAACGTTGCCAACTCTGTTTGACTTTGCCAAAATCTGGAAAAGATCGCCCAGTGCCGTGCTGTGCGTTGAGTTGCAGCGTGCGCGGTGCTTTTTGCCTTTTGCCCGTGCGGCGCTCCTTTTGCGCTCCAGTTCAGGATGTTCGATCCGCTGCGACGCCGTGGATCATAGCACTTGGTGCGGGAGCCTCAGAGACTGGTATGAGTCGTTTTCAAGGACACCTGCAGCCAGACCTCTCTTCCCCAAGACGTGGGGGAGGTGATCGCTAGTAGGTTGGAGGCCATCGCTCTCAGGTTGGAGGCCTATCTGTGTCCTTAAGACGGCTCACCCTTGAGGTTCTGGTTTCGATCGATCGATGGCCTGTGGCTGCAGGCTTCGGTCCTTTTGTTGATTCGAAGTAATCTGAAGTCATCCAGATCCTGGAAGAACTCGTCGCCCAGGGGCACCGTGCGACCCATGTTGACGTATAGTAGTATAGTGGTCCCCAAGGAGATGACCGTGGCACGGTTTCCAAGACATTTTTTTGTTGGGATCTACTTTTCTATCTATTTGGGGGTGTAACGTCTACAATGTCTTTTCTTTTTTTCCGAAGCCACGTCTTTTCATGCAACGAGCTTTCGTCCGAACAGACGTTTTCACCGTGTCAACTCCCAGCATCATGGGTGTGAAGGCCCAACGGTTGTGGCTCAATGAATGGCTCATTGACTGCATGGGTCATCAGTGGTGTTTGGTCACCTGTTTGTTTCTTTTGCGTTGAGCACATATACTGGAGATAGAACAGTGATGACATGTGATGAAGAGTCCCCTTCAAAGAACATGCACTTGGAGGGCGGGTTCTGTCAATTTGGGACCCCCCCTCATTGATAGAGCTTTTGTCATCCTTGGCTCCACTCAAGCTGCATATGTTTAGATCCACTGTTCCAGATAGATGCTGAGTGGGCCTCACTCCATGCTGCAACATGCAACGTGCTTTGCCGGCCCGTTTTCGTCCATGGCGCGGAAGAGTTCATCATCCCACTCCTATGCTTGGCTGAAGGGCTTCGGGAGACCCGGCTAAACGGTCTTTGGGTTGTTGCTGTCCTGTCGGGGGGGGGGAAGACAAGATCGTGTTCAAGATGGGCCAGTGGTGGCTACTATAGTTTGGGTCTGTCCTAACCTACCTACAACAGTCAGTAAACAAGCACATCATCATTTTTGAAGAAATGAAGGCCTTTACTAACCATCATCATCCACTGTTACAGGTATTAGGATAGACCCAAGTTATATATGACTTTTTATCCCTGAGTGCAGTGATCCGATTGAACCATGGCCGCAGCCTTTCACGGGTCAAGGTGCGGATGGTTCCTTGGCTGGACGCCATCCGTGAAGCCAGATTCTGGCTCTCAGGATCACCCTCCTGTCCCTGGGGGTTCATCTGTCTGGCTTTGGTGGCTCTCTCGTGCTGCACTTGCATTTGCGGATTTGTCCTAGGATCCCTGGCTTTCAATTTGAGAGTCAGACGATTTGTGTTGCAAGTGATTCAACTGGCCTGCCATTTTTGGATTCCTGTCCCTTTGCATAGCGGCTCCGACAGTCGCGACCGCATAGCTGAATACCGACGGGGCCAGTGAGTACGATCAGCCAACCTTGAATTGACCATTGCAGCTAGGCACCCTTGTGCCAGATCAGCCGATCAGCTCATTCCTTCTCACAGTGCACCAGACTCTTCGCTCATTGAGGGCCGGTCCATCCACGCCCACGACGAAGTCACCCCTCACGCCTTTGCCAGCCAAGCCAAGGGTGACGCAGCGCGGGCGGGATGGCCTCCAGAGCCCCGACAGTGAGGGCGGCTTTCAACGTGGAGTCTCTCAAAGACCTTGCCGGTTCCGACGCTGGGGCCTCCATCCCTGGCGTGCATGTGCCAATAAAGGGGGCAGAACTTCCAGATCCAAATCTCTTTTGGGCTGGGCTGGTGCGGATGAGGGAGAATGGCTTTATGCTAGTGGTGCCTACCGAAGAGCTAGTTCATCAAGCCAATTTTAGACCTACAGCCAGCAGACGTTGTCGACGAGCCCCCAGTTTTCTTTCAAGGCAGTGTCACCTTGGTCAACACCAGAGGAAGAGAACTTGGAACAGTAGATGCCGAACTGGTAGACTTACCATGGGCCTATGCACCTCTGCTTTTCCCTGCCATGCAGTTTCGTGGAGGTTTAGCGGCGCAGTTCAAAGTCACCGGGTTTTCCTTTCGTGGCACCAACGGTCGGCCTTCTCGAGCCAGTTCAGATGCCTTAGCCGAAGCCTGGATCAACGAGATGGATCCTGCCACTGCTCAAGAGTACCTGAGTTTGGAGGAGTTGCCCGAGGGCGAGGAGTCAGATGGTCAGGCCGAAGCCCCCACAGGTCAGACCGAGCCAGATGTGGTGAGCCAGCTGCAAGCTCGAATCATTCAGCTGGAAGGGCTTCTTCAGAACGCAAACCAGCCCAATCCTCGTGTTCTTCGTTCTGTGTGCGAGCCAAAAGCTCAAAGTGGGGCTCCAGCCCCCAAGGCACCCGGCTTGTTTCAGGGGGCTCAGTCAAGTCAGCTGACGCCTCAAGATTGGGCCAGGTTGCAGAGCCTAGCGGGCAGTCCGCCCCCTCGAGTTGCTGGCGTCGAAAGACGTCGCCCAGATCCACCCGCAGTTCAAAAGTTGCAGGAGAACTTGTACGCAGACCTCGAGAAGGAGGCCGTCGAAGACGAGGTGAGCCTAGCCCTCAAACCTCTAGAAGGCCAGTTGAACGAGAGCTCTCTGGATCCAATGCAACAGATGGTCCTGGCGCAGTTGCGCCAGAATCAACTACTGCTGCAAAAGTTGATCGGCAACAAGCCGCAAGACCCAGTGATGAGGGTGTTGGGGTCAAGCGGCTCGGACAGCGGAGGAGGCAGCTCTGGCGGAGGAGTAAAGGGATGCCTGGCCCGGGAAGCCTTCATTCATGCCATTCAGGACTTGCCAGAAGTTTCCAGAGTAGTTCGCCGTGCAGCTTTGAGAGAACTAGGTCTGAGCTCAGACCGGGAAGATGGGAACTTGATGAGAAAGTACATGGAGAGGCGGATACCTCTTGCAGATCATCGCCTCCTGGCTCAATTTGCTGGTCTGATCAGCGAAGGTTGGGCAGTCGGCTACGAGGCTGGGAACGAGCAGATGCTCGGCACTCTGGGTCGCATGATGATTTTTGTGGAACAATGCGCCCTGGACTCAGGCCGATCTCAGCTAGCTTGGTTGCTGACAGGCCTTCAAGATCCGCCAATGCATCTCTTTGTTTCTCATCGCAAACGACCTGGCCTCGAACCGTTCTCCAGGCCGAGCAGTCCAGCGTGGGTGTCAGGAAACTTGGCATACCTCAAGGATCTGGACTACATAGAGGGTCGCATGAACAGCATCGGCAAGAACCCGAAAGGTCAAGCCTCAGAGGATTCGGAAGTTTTGGTCAGACCCAAACCAAAGCCTCGAGTCAAAGGCAAAGGGAAGGGGAAAGCACAGTCCGCCCAAGGGGGCGAAACCGCAGAGTGAGCCAGCTCAGCAGTGCCGACACTGCAACTGCTGACTTTGCCGAGCCTTTCCAGCCAAGCGATCACGTCGATCGTGGCTCACCTGTTCATAGTTCTGAAGATTTTTGTCTGCCAAAGCTGAATTCCCCTTCTGACCGAGTTTTTTGTTCTGTTGAATTAGTATTGCAAATATGTAGAGGTATCCGGTCAGCTCCCACTGGCCTTGGTGCATTCATACGGGCGAGTTTGTGTGACTCCCCAAAGCCTGCAAATGTTGATAGGGTGTCCTCGACCCCTTTATGGCCTGTCCCCCCCGTGAGGTGGCGATGGACGGGCTGCAAGCGCTTCAACCCAAGGCGCCGTCGCCGACACAGATTCCTGAATGCTCAGCACCAGCTTTTGAATGTTGTGATCTGTAGCTTAAATTGGGAGTCTTTGGGTTTTCCAGCAAGCCCTCCGGGGTGTGCTCAACTAGGAGCACCAATCTCCGCACAGCAGCATACAGTGATTGAGCGACTTGAGTCACTGGTTGCCCATTTCATGCGCATGCCTGATTTTGTCGGTGATGACCTGGGCAGGGCAAAGGAAAAGTTTGTGAGCGTAATTAGAACCATACAGGAACTACCCTGGTGTAAGCTAGGGTTTGAGGACCTAACCGAATTAGCGTTGCAAGTTGAAGCCACTTTCGATCCTTACCGATCACATTTTGATCGTGGTCAAAGTACGGCAAATGTTGCAGCAGACGAGCCTGGTCATCAATGTAGGTTTGACTCGTTCCCGGCGTCCGCAACCCTTGACAATCCCACCGGTGCGATGCCAGTCAGATCAGATCGCGTGAAGTGGAAATGTCCGCCGAGCTTTGATGCAGTACAGTTTTTAGAAGACCCGTTGTTGAAGTCAGCTTTTGTAAACCCTGAAGTCCTGAGGAAACCTAAAGCCGATTGGCCGAAAAGCCGACCTGCTAAAGTTCGTTGCTCTAAAGCCGAATCCCTAAAGCTAGCCAGGAGGTGGGATGATTTGGGGGCATGTTGTTTGATCCCTGCGGATGAGAAAGACTTTGATGAAGCTGTTGGATTATTTTGTGTTCCCAAAGACGCAGAAAACGACCGGCTCATCGTAAATCCCCAGGTGATAAATAGTCGCATGCATTCCCTTGCCTCCGCAACCAAAGAGCTTGCCCCGGGATGCCTGTTAACCATGCTTCAGTTGGAACCCGCTGACATGTTCAGGTTTAATGCAGATGATCTTTCGGATTACTATTACACCTTCAGGGTTTCCAAAGCTAGAGCTTATCGAAATGCTTTTCGGTTAAAGTTGCATGCCAATGATGTTCGAGGTTTCAGCTGTTTTAACCAGTCCTTGGAAGGTAAACCCCTTCTTCTGTGTTTGAAAACCTTGGCCATGGGTGACAACCTAGCCGTCGAAATTGCCCAGGCAGCTCATTCCACCGTTTTGAGGGTTCTGTGCAGCGCCATGCGTAGTCACGAAGTCCTGAAGTATCGATGTCCCATTCCCCGGAGCGATTTTGTTGAGCTACTTGCCATCGACGATCATGTAGGAATCCAGAGGTTGCCCATTGCCATGTTTCGTGAACATCCAGCTTTGCGGGACACTGAAGTTTTTGGTGAAGCCACAAATGCATATGAACGTGTGGGATTAGTGTTGCACGAAAAGAAACGGAAGCGTGGCCAAACTCAAGGGGTCATTCTAGGGGCCGATTTCGATGGGGTCGCTGGTAGAGTAATGGCGCCCAGGCACCGCATTCTGGTGTCAAGTCTGCTATCTGTGGTCATTGCAATGCGGGGCACCTGCACGCCAAAACTTCTATCAGTCATGTTAGGTTGTTGGGTGCAGGGTAAGGGTTTGCCGACCAATCAACCGTTCTGCTTGAGCAGACAGTCCAGAAACGAGTTGTTGCTGCTCGCTGCTCTAGGTTCCACAGCGCAGTCAGATCTGAGAACCACATATAGCAATAAGATCTACATGACCGATGCCTCCCCCACATGGGGGGCAGTATGCCAGGCCCCGATTGAGCCAGCAGCCACAGCCGAACTGTGGCATCACAGCGAACAACGAGGTTTTTACACCAGACTCAAAGACCCTGCAGCTGCAGTCTTTGCCGAGCTTGGAGTCCCAGCGGAGTCAGATGAAATGTATGCTCATGATCCGTATTCCACTCATAGATCGGTCCCTAAAATCATTCCTCAGCAGTTGAAGGAAGGTATCCTCTTTGATTGTTGTGAACTGTTCAGAGGTGTTGGAAACTGGACCTTAGTCCACAAATCTAGAGGGTTGCACTGCCATGACGGCTTCAACATTGATGGCCGCAGACTCCGGTATGACGACCTGGCTGATAAAGCTGTGTTTGCTGAGCTCATGGGTTTGGCTGCTCGCGGCGTGGTCCGTGACTGGCATGCAGTATTGCCCTGTGTTAGTTTTGGATCTTGGCGTCAACCTCGAGTAAGATCTAAAACCAGGCCCTATGGTTTCAATCCTGATGATCCCCTTACTTCCAACCATAATATGTTAGCTCGTCGGGCCGCTCTCATTTTGACTCTTGCAGCAAAAGCCGGCCAGTTCATCAGTGTGGAGCAACCACGAAACTCATGTTTGTTTTTGCTTCATTGCTTTCAGAATTTGGTGCGGTTGGGATGCGTCATTTCGCATGTTGCTTGGTGTTGTTTTGGTAGCGCTTTTCAGAAGGCTTCAAAATTGTTGCACAATAAACCATGGTTAATCCCTTTAGAGTGCAGCTGTCAATGCCCAAAAGAGCAGTCCCATTTCACTGTACAAGGTAGCTTCACACTGGAGAGTGTGAAAGACTTTAACTCTAGATGCCAACCGTCCGCAAAAGTGGTGTATGGTCAGCTGCCTGAGCCAGGAACCTCAGTGGCTGCCTTCTCAGCCTCGTATCCTCTGCGCGTGGTGCATCAGATGGCCAGTGGATCATTGGCTGCTCGAGCTGGCATCGTGGAAAGCATGCCTGTTGCCGCGCAAGTTAGATCCTTGTATGAAGTGGGTTTGGCTGATTCGCCGACCATTCCTCAAAATCATGAACCGTGTTTTCCCCAGAGGCAGTGGTTTGAAAATCCGGAGTGGCGTCATGAACTTTGTGAATTTCTGCATTTTAGGGAGCAGTTTAGGTATCGCTTTAAACGACCAGGGCACATAAATGTGAATGGAATGCGCACCTATAAATCCTGGATTAAATCCCTAGCTAAGAGCGCTCCTGATTCTAGGTTTGTAGGCATGTTGGATAGTCGCGTCACCATTGGCGCCGCTGCAAAGGGCAGGTCCAGCAGCTATGCCTTGACCAGGGTCTTGAAGGGTTCAGTAGCCTATATGATAGGGGGAGGTCTTTATCCAGGTTTGTTGCACTGCTATTCTGAGGACAACCGAGCAGATGACCCAACTCGGTATCGCTCAGTTAGGGGCCCTTCTCGAGAAAAACCTGCTTGGTTTCTTGCGTTGGAGCGTGGCGATCCGACACTGTTTGATGCAGTTTGCGCTTCAGCAAAGTTTGAAAAGAATCCGGCGAGGTGGTTGAGATTCCTCCTTCTGTTGGCTGGTGATATTGAGCCTCACCCCGGGCCCAATGCCCGCGGCCCTTTGGATTTGCAAGTGGGTTTCGCACCCGCAACTGCCCAAAGGATGGACAAGTGCCTTCAGCTGTTTCAAGACTGGTGCGAGGATGATTTGCGAATTGATTGGTCAGTTCTGACCAGTGATGTGCATGCTTTGGTGATGGCTCTCCGTGCATATGGAATGTTTTGTTTCCAAACAGGTATGCCAAGATATCCAGGGTCCATGAGTGTTTTCCGTAGGCAATGGAATGCTGTGATGATGCGACTGGGCCTTCCAGTCAAACAGAGCTCTCACGGAGCTACTCCAGGTGTGCTTCGCGGCAGCGGAGCCACCTACCTTTATCATCAGACGGAAGACTTGGCCTGGGTAGCTTGGAGAGGCCGGTGGTCTCGAACTCGTACTTTAGAATTCTATCTGCAGGAAGTTGGGGCTTTTGTTTTGGTGCATTCTTTAGACAGAACTTCCCGTGATCGCATTGCTATGCTCTCTAAATTTGCGTGGCCTGTGCTCCACCGTTGTGTGTGGAATGCAAGCAGTAGTGGGAAGAGCGGATGAGATGTTCTGCCTTGAAAAGTCTGCAACAATGGATGCAATCAATGCACAATGATGCAATCAACGCACACTGATGCAATCAATGAACAATGGATGCAATCAATGCTTGTGATTTTGGCTTGAGCTGCCAGCCTCCTTTTCACCCGG